TCTCTCGTTCCTCTACCTCTTCGAAACCCAGCTTGTACTTCTGGTAGTTCTCTATCCACGTACTGTTGAAGCCTAGCTTGTAGGATCTTGAGCATGACCTTGCTAGCGTGTGATATGAGTGCAATTGTGCGATAGTTTGAACATTCCTTGGCATTGCCCTTCTTTGGGATTGGAATGTATACTGATCTTTTCCAATCCTGTGGCCACTGTTGCGTTTTCCAAATTTGCTGGCAAATGGAGTGCAGAACTTTAACAGCATCATCTTCTAAGACTTTGAATAGCTCAGCTGGAATACCATCACCTCCACTAGCTTTGTTGTTAGTAATGCTTTCTAAGGCCCATTTAACTTCACATTCCAGGATGTCTGGCTCAAGGTCAGTGATTATACCGTCGTGTTTGTCAAGGACATTGAGGTCTTTCTTGTATAGTTCTTCTGTGTATTCTTGCCATCTTTTCCTAATCTCTTCTGCTTCTGTTAGGTCCCTACCGTTTTTGTCCTTTATCATGGCCAGCTTTGCATGGAACGCTCCCTTGATTTCTCCAATTTTCTTGAAGAGATCTCTAGTCCTTCCCATTCTATTGTTTTCTTCTATTACTTTGCACTGTTCATTCAGGAAGGCCTCCTTATCTCTCCTTGCTGTTCTCTGGAAATCTGCGTTCAGTTGGGTAAATCTTTCCTTTTCGCCTTTGCCTTTCGCTTTCCTTCTTTCCTCTGCTATTTGTAAAGCCTCATCAGAAAGCCATTTTGCTTTCTTGCATTTCTTTTTCTTTGGTATGGTGGTGATTGCTGCCTCCTGTACGATGTCACGAACCTCTGTCCATAGTTCTTCAGGCACTCTATCTATCAAATCCAGACCCTTGAATCTATTCTTCACCTCTACTGTATATTCATCAGGGATGCGATCTAGGTCAAACCTGAATGGCCTCGTGGTTTTCCCAATTTTCTTCAGTTTAAGTCTGAATTTTGCAATGAGTAGCTCATGATCTGAACCACAGTCAGCTCCAGGTCTTGTTTTTACTGACTGGATAGAGCTTCTCCATCTTTGACTGCAAATTATATAGTCAATCTGATTTCGGTGTTGCCCATCTGGTGATGTCCATGTGTAGAGTCGCCTCTTAGGTTGTTGGAAAAGGGTGTTCGCTATGACCAGTGTGTTCTCTTGACAAAACTCTGTTAACCTTTGCCCTGCTTCATTTTGCTTTCCAAGGCCAAACTTGTCTGTTATTCCGGTTACCTTTTGACTTCCTACTTTAGCATTCCAGTCCCCTATGATGATGAGGACATCATTTTTTGGTGTTAGTTCTAGGAGGTGTTGTAGGTCTTCATAGAACCGGTCCACTTCAGCCTCTTCTGCATCAGTGGTTGGGGCATAGACTTGGATTACTGTGATGTTGAATGGTTTGCCTTGGAATCGGACAGAAATCATTCTGTCATTTTTGAGATTGTATCCCAGTACTGACTTTTGCACTCTCTTGTTGACTATAAAGGCCACACCATTTTTTCTACGAGATTCCTGGCCACAGTAGTAGATATAATGGTCTTCTGAGTTAAATTCGCCCATTCCTGTCCACTTTAGTTCTCTGATTCCTAAGATATCGATGTTCAGTCTTGCCATCTCATTTTTGACCACGTCAAGCTTACCTTGATTCATAGATCTTACATTCCAGGTTCCTATGCAGTATTGTTCTTTGCAGCATCGGACTTTCCTTTCACCATCAGACACATGCACAACTGAGCGTCCTTTCGGCTTTGGCCCAGCCGCTTCACTCTTTCTGGGGTTACTTGTACTTGCCCTCTTCTCTTCCTCAGTAGCAGATTGGACACCTTCCGACCTGAGGGGCTCATCTTCCGGCGTCATATCTTTTAGCCTTTTGATACTGTCCATGGGGTTTTCTTGGCAAAAATACTGGAGTGGGTTGCCATTTCCTTCTCCAGGGGGATCACTCTTGGTCTGAGTTCTCTGCTGTGGCCTGTCCGTCTTGGGTGGCCCTTCACGGCATAGCCCACAGCTTCATTGAACTACGCAAGCCCCCTCGCCACGACAAGGCAGTGATCCATGAGGATCACTTCTTACAGTAGCACAGAACTTTAGAACCTTTCCTACAGTAGCACAACAGACCCAATTTCTCCTAATTTTTACAAACTTAGTCGAGACTTTTATGTTCTGCCATGCTTGCTGTTCTTTTTTGACAGCTGAATTAGTCATTTATATGGTTGATCTGCCTTAAACTACTTTTTCTTTGACTGGTGAGATGTTTTGATTTCCCGGAGAGGCAGAAACAAAGCATTCAAACTTCTGACTGTTCTGTAGTGTTGAGCCTCATAAACCAAATACTGCTCCAGGCATACCCCTTTCTCCAGTCTGGCCTTTCTGAATTTGCCCCACGACAGCAAAACATGGCCACCAACATTTTCTTGCAGGTATTAAAAGGTGAGGAACAAGTACTACTAACTCAGTTGAAGGACTGGAAAAGGGAAGGTGAGAGAGACCATTTCTGCAGTAGTGAAATTCCCCACATTGACATTTTTTAAAATGTGCATTATGTGAAAGTTTCCACAGTAGATTTTTCCTCACCAGGTGGAAACCCAAAGTTTTCCCCTTCTTTCCCCACATTTTCGGATCTCGCTAAAACTGAGGATATAAATTGAAATAATAAAATAAAATAAATAAAGCTACTGCGGAAAATTTCGCATAATGCGCAGTTTTTAAAACATCAATGCAGGGAATTTTGCTGCTGTAGAAATGGTCAGAGAGAAGGGTGGCTTAAAACTGTTATGGGCTGCTGCAAAAGTGAGATAACGGGACTATAGCATGTGAACTGCATTAATTGGACAATGTGGCTAGCCCACCATGGCCCAGGAGGCTGTATCATAGAGCACTGATGTGCTGACTTCAACCTTGCAAGGTTTATTATTATTTTTAGCAGCACCACTGGGCTCTTACTTTGCTAACCAATCCTATGCAGGTTTACTGGGAAGCAAATACCACTAGCAGGGCTTAATACCACCTATAGCCCAACAGTGCATTCTCAAGGTATAACTAATCTGTGTTAAGCAAATTCTCAGTCTGCACCTTTAAGAACCAAGATGGATCAGAACAAGGGTCACCTAACCAAAGATTACCTGTTAAAAATCCCAGCAATCAGCAGGCACATGAATGACCACCAGAAATTGGCTAGTGCTCTGTTAGGTGCTCTGTTACAGGCATATACTGAACTGTGCAGGCTTCTGTAGTCTTCCACCTGACAGTACCACAGTAGCCCTGAGCTTGCAGATTTCTTTCCCCAATCAAAAGTTCCTTAGTGTGCTAAGAATTTCCCTTTCTCAAAACATCCCTTCAGACTTCTGTTAGACATGTTAATAGTTTGACTGGCGCAACCCTCAACAAAAGTAAACAACTAAGTTTTCCTTATTCATCCTTCTAGTCAAAACGCCTCTCAGCCTGAGATGAGCAAAACCCAGGCACAGCAGAAGAAGAGATTGGATTTATACCCCGCTCTTCACTTGGAGTCTCAGAGCACCTTACAATCTCCTTTCCCTTCCCCTTCCCACAACAGACACCCTGTGAGGTAGGTGGGGCTGAGAGAGCTCTTTCGAAAGCTCCTCTTGAGAGAACAGCTCTGAGAGAACTTGTGACTGACCCAAGGTCACACCAGCAGCTGCATGTGGAGGAGTGGGGAATCAAACCCGATTCTCCCAGATTACAGTCCATGCTCCTAACCACTACACCAAACTGGCTCTCAAGATATGAAAGAGAAAGAAAAATAAGACCAGCAACATCTTATGCTATCATGGATTCCAGTTCACAAAAGCTTCTGCTGCTATTTTAAGTCTTTAAGATGCCACATGACATCTACCACAGTGGCTACCCTTCGAGTAATGAAGGGAACAGTGACAGGAAAGTACACCCTTCGCTTAGGACTCATGTCTACTAAGATACAAGAGCTGAGTGCACGGCTGTCTGGAAATCACCAAAAGTGGTTTCCTAACAACTTCCCTCTTTTCAGTTCCCCTCCCCGTAGGAAATCATGTCTCTCTACACACTCCTTAGCAATGTTTACTGAACTTTCAAAATCTAATAAAGGTAAAGGTTCCCTTGCTCGAAAGCCAGTTGAATCCGACTCTAGGGTTGTGGTGCTCATCTCCGTTTCAAACCTGAAGAGCCAGCGCTGTCCAAAGACGTTTCCATGGTCATGTGGCCGGCATGAATAAACAATACAAACATCTTAAAAGAACAATTAGATGTCAGTGAAACTCCACCACAAGATGGACAAAGAAAACCTCAAGCTTTCAGTCCCTGCTTGCCCCCCTCTCCTTTGACTAACATTGTCCTGTCCTCATAGAACCTAAATCACAAGGGAGGGGTAGATAGATTCAAGGGGTTAGCTGTGTTACTCTCAAGTAGCAGAACAAAGTCCAGTGGCACCTTTAAGACCATCAAAGTTTTATTCAGGTATAAACTTTCCTGTGCAAGCACACTTCCTCAGATACACTGAAATGGAAGTCACCAACCATTACATACAGATAAAAGATGGGGAGGGTGTCGCCAAGAAAGGCTAATTAGAGTCACTATGCATAAGCAACTGAGCAACAGATATAGCTAAGATTGGAATAGCAACAAATTAGCATACAGCATAATAAAAGAGTTTACAAACAGATGTGAGAAACCAATATCTCTGTTAAGCCCTGGGGGTTCCATTACCCTGAGTGTTGTGATAATTTATCACAACACTCCTGTCTGGAATCTCCTGTCTGTTTCTGAAATTCCTTCGCAATCAAACAGCCACTTTGAACTCTCCCACTGAATAAACGAGCCCCTGCTTGAACCACGTGACAGCACCCGGCTCCTGATCTCGGGCATTCGGAGCAGTGGGCGGGGCCATGTATGCTAATCAGCATCCAATTCTAACGACAGGAGACGGTTGGCTTTCCCCCCCCCCCAGACCCCGCCCAGTACGCTCCTCCCTCGCGTTCCTTGCTTGGTGAACCTGGAAATTGCTGTTGTAGCGCTGGCGGTGGGGGCGCGTGCGTGCTGGCTTCCTCGCGGACGGTGTCCGACGGGGTTCATTCCACTCCTTCCGTAGCGCCTCTGCTGTCCCTAAAAGTGCTGAGGCCTAGAAAAGCGGAACGTGGTGAAAGAAGGGGGGGGGCCGCGGGGGGCCTGTGGCGGCAATGTCCGTGAGGAGCAGAGAGGGGCGTGCGGCGGCGGCGTTGCTGGGAACAGCCACAACAGTAGTAGTAGCAGCAGCAGCTGTCGTCGCCTCCTCAGGGGCGCGCGGCCTGCTTTCCCCCTCGCCTGCGGCTCTCCAGTGCTGTCGTCTCCCTCCTGGTAGCTGGGCTCTGGCGGCGGGCTGGGCCCGAGACTGAGCCGCCCTGGGCTAAGCCCGGGCGGGAGCATACCGAGACTGAGGCCGGGAAGAGCGCGGAGCTGCCCAGAGGCAGCCTCAGCTTCCGCCGCCCGAGCATGGGAATCCTCTTCACTCGGATATGGAGGCTGTTCAACCACCAGGGTGAGCAGGGAGGGAGGGAAGGGGGGGGCTGGGCAAGATGCCCGGCGTGGCCCAGACGCTCCTCGGTTCTGTGGACCGGAAACTACCAGGCGGCAGTCCGAATCTCACTTTCGGGGAAGGCGCTGAAGTCGAAAGGACTTGCTTCCACGTCGGCAAGTTTAGGATCGGCTTAGTAGTTCCGTTGCAAGGGGAGACGGAGGAAACGTTAAACGTGACCCTTGCTGACTTTATATGTAAAGCGAGTATGGGTGGAGGTGGGGGCTGAGCCACCGTTGGGTAGTGGTTAGAGTCCTGGACCAACATCTGGGTTCAGGTTTTCACTATGATATGGAAGCTTGCTGGCTGACCTTGGGCCAGCCCCGCACGCTCAGCTAAAATGGAGAAGGGAGAGTGTCATAAACTGATATGGGTCCCCCACTGGGGAGGAAAGTGGGATATATGTGAAATAGAGGAATATTGTGATGGGCTGAGAAGGTACTTTTAGTGAGTGCCTGTTATTGCTTGGGTATCTCTGTGCCACAAACTCGCTAGATAAACTTGGACATGTCAGTGCCAGTTTCAGCCTTTTTTTGTCTGCAATGTGGAGCTAATAATATTGGTCTGCCCTGCAGAACTGTTCTAAAGAGAAATGAACTGTGGTGATATGTGAATATTTACAAAGTGAGCTGTACAAATACTACACATTGTGGTCTTTTGGTTTTGGGTCTGTTGGGTAGTGATGGCTACATTGGGTAGTGATGGGTATAAGGCACTGGGCAAGGAACCTGTGTGTGTCTGAGATGAGGATATATATGTGGTTGAGGAAACAAAGTGACAAGAATGACAGGTAGTGGGGCTCAATGCTGGCAATCTGGAGATATTTAGAGTTGGGTATATGATGAGAAACTGCAGTCAGCTGGTATATTTAAGTGAAAAGTGTGCTTTGGAAAGGTGGGTTGAGTTGTCTTGGAAATGAAATCTGCTTCATTTGTATTGATATCATTAAAAATAATGGGTTGGATCCCATCTAGATTTTCATGTGTGCAAGGAGGGAGGGTGAGTTTTGCCAGTTACCCAACTTTCTGTGACAGCCCAAAATACTACTATGGGAGACCACTTGGTGTCGCCTAAGGGAGAACCAGAGGTATCCTGCTGGCGGGGGGGGGGGGGGGGGGGGGGGAAACCCATCCCCATTCCTTGCACCTGTGAAGATCTAGGCCAGATCCAACCCATTTTACTTTCTCTCATTGGATGTGTAGTATTCTACCAACTTAGGTCTTTCACTGGTTACTACATTTGTCAGTAGAATGTCTTATGGAGCAGGTGGAGGTTCTTTGGCTGAAAGAGTGCCTGAAGGACAGGTCCAGACAGTGGTGTATTTTATTGGTAGAAGTTGCAAAAGTTAAAATCTTTCAAGTCTGTGTTTTCATTTTTTTGTGTGCTCAGTGGGAGCCTGTAACTTGTTCTATGCAGTTTTAAGCTCTGTTGTCAGAGCAAGTGCCACTTGAAACCAGGTCTGAGAGATGAAAATGTAGCTCTCTTGTTTCTGCCCTATCAATAATGGAAAAATCTGTAATGGGAGCTGAGCTGATACTGGTGTGTGGAGAATTTAGGCAGGTAAGAGTTGCATTTTGCCTGTGTACCAGTGCAGGGGCGGCACATTATCTTGAACTAAATCAGTAAAGCTTTTATTTAAGTTGTTGTGACCTAGACATACAAAGAGACAACTCTTGTAACCAGCCATCCTCCAGCTTTGAAAGGTATATGCATGTATAATTTGTATACAAAAATGAGGAAGAAAGTGAACTTGCACCCAATGCACAAACCAAATTAAACCTTTTCTTTTTCAGTTTGGTGGATGTATAATATTAATGTGCTGCAGCTTCCCTGCTTCTCACAAGTGTTTGTGGTGGTTACAGATAACACTGCACAGCTTTCCGACCTTCTGTGTCGTCTCCCCCCCCCCCCGCCACCCCCCAGCAGCTGCCTGAAGTGTCACCCATAGTCTTGTTCCTGAGAGTCCTTTATGCTAGGCTGCACTCTTCAGGCTTTAATGTGTTTTAAAACATGTCACCAAATTGTCTGCGGTTTCCATGTGATCTGTGGCAAATGCAAGGGGTTTCTCAGCAGATAAGTCAGTGTGGAAAAAAGTTTCCTTAAGGTAAAAAGCTGAAAACTGCTGCATTAATTCTTTGAAGCCAAAATAACTTCAAAAATAAATGTATGCCCTCTCACTTATCCTCATCAATTAAAATTAGTCTCCTGTGGTTCAATTATATAAAATTTAGCTGATTGATCCACTGATTTAAATCAGTTAAAGCAGACTTTCTGAGAAAAATACAATCTTTGAACAGCCTTCCAGAGAATATTACTTTAGCCACCATGGATGTGGAATCTCTATATACTAACATCCCACACAAAGAGGGATTAAGACAAAATGAATATGGTTTCTGACAACAAAACACCTCATTTTGCCACCAAACCGTGCCATTTTGTTCTCACCCACTTCAAATATGGTGACAACTTATTCCTTCACATCTGTGGGCACCTGCATGGCTCCACAGCATTGGTAACATCTTTATGGCTAACTTGGAGCAATGCTTCCTAAACTCCCACCCACTTACACCACTCATACCTGCAATATATTGATGGTATTTTTATTGTTTGGACACATGGTAAAGAAGCCCTGGTCATATTCCAGCAGACATTCAATGACTTTCACCCCACCATGAACCTGACAATGAACCAATCTATGCAAGAAATATATTTTCTGGACACTACTATAAAAATACACAATGGACATATAGACACCACAGAATACCACTATTGGTCACATACAGCTCTCAGCTCAAAACATTTCAGTGCATCATCAATTACTTACAGCCTCTCCTGGATAATGACAGTTCTCTTTCACACAGACAACCCCCCAATATTAAACAGCTCCTCACCCACAATGCTACATCTAATTTGAACATGGACACTGGTACCAGAACTTGCAATAAACCCAGATGCCACTTCGCTGCCACATGCACCTAGACAACACTATTACTAGACCTAACAACATCAATGATACCGTCTCAGGCTCATTCACTTGCTCATCTTCTAACACTGTATATGCCATTAAATGCCAATAATGCCCTTCAGTTCTCTACTTAAGGCAAACCGGTCAAACCCTAGGCCAAAGGATAAATGGACACAAATCTGACATCAAGAATCCCAAAATTGAAAAACTTGTAGGAGAACATTTCAGTCTCCCAGGGCACTCAGTGGGGAACCTCAAAGTAGCTGTTTTATTGCAAAGGAGTTTCAGAAACAGGCTAGAACAGGAGACTGCTGAATTACAAGTTATTACAACACTCAGGACAATGGATCCCCCAGGGTTTAACAGAGATATTGTGTTCTTATCTCATTACACATGCTAAGTCGCTCAGTTCTCACTTTTACTCAGAATTAAACTTTGTTGGTCTTAAATGTCCCACTGGACTCAAACTTAATTCTCACATCTGTTAACTCTTTTATTTGCATGCTTATGTGCTGCTGCTATTCAGAGGTCTTACCAACTGCTTTAATCCAATCTTGGCTATACTTATCACCCAGTTACTTATGCATCTTGACTCTAACTAGCCCTTCCTGGCAACTAGCCCACTTTACCTATATGTAAGGCTTGAGGAAGTCTGTTTCAAAGTATCTGAAAAAGTATGCATGCACACAAAAGCTTATACCCAGAATTAAACTTTGTCTTAAAGGTACTACTGGACTCAGGCTTTGTTCTGTCAATTAGCACAGATACTGAAGACCTTACTTTTTGGTCCTCCTGTAAGTTTGCTGTTCCAAGTGATTTGCTAGCATTCATGCCCTTGGCAATACAAGATCTGGAACAAAAGCCAATTGAATATACTCTGATAAAGGGTCATTGTAAAAGTAGTGTGCAGTTGTGCACTTTATTAAAACTGCAGTGTATCCCATGGGCTATTTAAAAAAACACTTTTCAGAAGTTTTTTTCTTGGGCATCTCATCACTCGTCCCCTTCATAAGGTTAAAATAAACACTGGCTGCAATCCAACATAACTTTCCACACAGTTAGATCTCTTTGTTAATTAGTGCAAGAATTGTTGTGAGAATAGGCTCTTAATGTTTATTTTTTGCTTCTCTTTGAAAGATTATTTTATGTAATTAAAATATGCAGATGAAAAATCAATAACAAGACATGTAGTACACTCAAAAGTTAACATTTAAAGCACAGAGGATTTTAAAAACAACAACAATTTTAAAAAATCAGTGTTTGGATCCAGTAAAGATATTGCTGAGACTGTCATGCTAGTTTGCAAAAAAGTGCTTACAAGTCAGAAAAAAGCAGTTTGACTGCTTTCATGACCACGGAACAGAGTAATCTAGTCTACCTAGTATTGCTCACTGCTATACATTACAATGATAAAGAGATTTACTATCACAGTACATACTATCATAGTATGTGTAGTCATGAGAAGTCCAGAGTTAAGGTTTCAAAGCATTTGTTCGTGTAACTGAATGAATCATTTTAGTGTCAACCAGAGAAATATGTAAATATTTACTAAAATAACTTTTGTGGAGAAAGACATAATATAGGTCAAATTTGTTGTCTGTCAGAATGGTGAATAGTTGTTTACAATGTAATCAGCTTTTCAACAAATATAAAGAAAACAGATATGTAAAGAAAATAGTGATAGTGTTGTGGCCAGAATATTGCTGCAGATGTTGTTAAAGCATGTGGAGTTTACTTAGTTTGATAGTTTATTGCCTTAGTGCAGGTACTGATACTATCAGAAGAGACAGTGGTCTCTCCTATAAGGTAAAGGGAAAAAATACCAGCCCACTTCAGAAGAAGATATACTTCTAAGACAGTTTCTCCTGTGTAATTCCTACCTTGGTAGACTTTCTGTTTGGATTCAATTCCGTGGATGTGCCTTTTGAATATACTAAAGTAAAAACTCTTTGGCTTTGCCCTTTAAGGGCTGGGAGGAGAGCTTTTGTAAGATTCAACTGGTAAAAATATGTCAGTCTGCCTTAGGGAAGATAAATGTGTGGTAAATAAAAGAGCAAATCTGAAAAACTTGACAAAAAGTTACAAAGGTTTGTGATATTACCATGTGTATAACTGTCTCCTCTTGGCTTTTTTTCCTCCAGAGCACAAAGTGATCATTGTTGGCCTTGATAATGCAGGAAAAACAACTATACTCTATCAGTTGTAAGTATAAAGTAACATGTGACTAAAATTACCTGTATCTGTTCCTATATGAAAAGTGTCAAAATTCCCACCGAAGTTTGTTCCTGTCATCCAAAGTATCTGGTCAGCTATCATGGCTAAAAGCCGTGATACATTTATCCTTCATAAATTTGTCCAATATTTTAAAGCCTTCTAAACTAGTGATCCTCATTGTGTCTTGTCAGTCTGGTCCATTCATGATTCTGAGCATTATAAAAATGAAGGAATATTTCCATTCACTATCTCCACATCATTGATACTTTTTACAACTTATACCTCTGCTGTCTCTTCTAAACCAAAATGTACAGTGCCTTATAGGGAAAATATTCCCTGTATTGACTTTTAGTTGATCTTTTGTACCTATTTCTACTCTATAGTGGTGCAGCAACCACTTGTGAGCTATGATGTGTGGACCTGTATGAGTCAAAGGATACACTTAAAAATATCTGCAAATGTGGCTGTATTAGTTTAGAATACCTGCTGTTTAATTTTCAGTCCTTTTCCTAATAAATCCTATCAGTGTTTGCTCTTTTCATTATCGCACTGTGCTGATTTGAATTTGGCTATATCCTTTCCTCCAGCTAGATCCTACTTGCTTTGTAATGTGACCTGGTAACTCTTATCATCTCAGGTGACCTTTTAACACTGGTAGAAGTGGTAGTGACATACTGTGGCCAGAAAGAGCCTTGCGCCTTTGTAACTGCTGCCTTTCCTGGCTTTAGCAGATCAGCAAGAGCTTGTCATCTTCCCTGAGCAGCAAGTGACTTTAACCTGATGTGCAGATTCTCCCAGTCTTAGAAGAAGTAATACTATGCAAATGCTTTTTTGGCTTTCTCATTGCTATTGAAATGTATATTAAAGTGTCCATGTGTTCAGAATGTTTGATATGTCGCCTAGTGTATGCTGAATATAGCCATTACTCCATAAAATTATTATTCTATCTACCAATCTACTATATAGACAATCTTTCAGAAGGGTGAAAAGTATCTTTCCAGGGTTCTTTTCACTTCAGAGGGAGGTCAGTACAGCTGCTATTGAGTGGTCAGTTGCACTATTGGAGAGCTGTTGTGTAGTAGTGATTAAGAACATGAAAGGTGTGCTAGAAGTTCCCACTTCAAATTTCATTTAAGGCATGTCCTCATTAGTAGTCTTCTACCACTGTTTCTAATAATTTGCCCATTTTTAATATAGGAATAATAATGTAGTGGACTGCTTTACAGGGGTGTTGCATAAGCATTACACAGAGCAAAGCTAGCACTAAGGAGAATCATGTGATGCAGCTTGTGCTGGACTGTACCACCTCATACAGTAGATGTCAAACGGTTTTCCATTTTGTTAAAAAAGAAACTCCTCTCTGAATGGAGAAACATGGCATAGCAGGAAAAAAGCTAGAATGGAGCTCTTCTCCTTGATTCATCATTTCAGTCAAGTTTTATAGTCAGGAAAATAACTATTTCTTTGAAGCAACATTTTAGTTTACTAACAAAATAAGCCTATTTCTGATATATCAAATTATATATAAGCAAACAACAGAAAGTTAGTAAGTTGCATCCTACCACACTGCTGGGCCAAGTTTGTACTTTTCCTCTAGCTTAAGAAGGAACTGCTTTGCAAGGATACAATATATCAGGAGTTTAATAATCCCCAAAGTCACTTTCACAAATAAGCTTTCAACAGCCTTTCAGAATTGGTGCATCTCAAATGTCACCTTTTACACGCTTCCTCCTTAATGGGTTGTTCAGTTTCATTTTACCTTTATCAGTATTTTCGTAGATAAACTAAGGATGCTCCACATGTGACAACTGAAATTTCGCAGGCTTTACCTTGACAAGGCAGCTTACAAACATGAATGTATTTTCAGTTTAACATGAAGAGAGGTAATGTGATCTCCAAGTTGACAGGTGCCGCATTCCTTCTTTTCCAGATATATATAAGTAAACTTCATTGGTATTATTCACATCAAGCCTAAATATTCGTCCCAACACTGTTGTAAAGCTGCAAATGAAGAATTATTCCTCACTGCTTTCCCCCTATAATAACACAGGCCTTGACAAATTTTCTTTGGCACTGGGAGCCAGCCCAAAAATTTAACACCTCCCCCTCTCCGAAACTAATTTTTCCTCCAGAGTTTTGTGCTGTCAAATTTTCTAGTGATTGCTACCGCAAAATGTAATCCTAAACTTTTCACAGTTACCTAGAACTTTATTAAAGCTATGACAGTACTGTTTTAGTATATAAGTAAATACAAGGGTAATCCTGGCTGCCATCACCAAAACAAAAAGCTAACCTCTAACCCTAGCCTAACCTCTCCCCAATTTTTCATAACTCCGTTATTGCTTTCAAAAGCTCTGTTTATTTGATCCTGAAGCCAGTATAGAAGGCAACTGATTAAGAAATAAATTAATCTACAACCACTGAATGGTATAAAACAGTGGTACTTGGTCTGCAGCCTGCAGAGAGCCACAGTCACAATTATTGTCGTTCAAAAGAGCCACGTTTGCTTTTTATCTTTAGCATGAGGCCTGTACCTCAAGGTTGGTCACAGCTTAGCCATTCCTCTGGCAGTGGCTGTTTCAAGGCGGGAACTACCTGCCAATCAGAAGCCCCATCATGCAAGGGCATGCCCACATTTCTGAAATATGGGGCAGGTGCTACATTGGGGACTGGTGCTCGGAAGAGGCACAGGTGGCTCCTGAGCCACTTAATATCATTGGTATAAAAGTTTACGTACAAGGAAGCAATGACAAGAACTTCATGCACATTTATTTTTATGTCATACAACAAAACAAAATAAACATTTTGTTACAAAATGATAAACAAACTAAGTAACATTTAAAGGAAATAATACTTGTCTTTTACAGCTTCTGTATGAAGACATCAGATTGGACACAGCTAGCTTTTTTGCTCAGGCTCTGCTACTTCCTCTTCTTATTACCTCTTCTATTCCACATAGTTTTTGTCCATTCAGGTTTCATGATCCCAAGCATAGCCCTTTTGGTGGTCGAAGGGGATTCCTTTCTCTCTATTTCACCAGTGGAAAAACTGGTTGGATTCAACCTGTCGTACTTCCAATGCAAATTGCTAAGATTCAGTACTTGCTGAAAATACTAAGCAGCACAGTGAAATTTTCCAGATTCCACGGCAACCTGGCACCAGGGATTTGACAAGCACTGTACTAACACTATGAATGGGAAGAGGTGTATCTTTCCACCATAAACTCTCAGACAAAATGCTTTTAATGAGACTTCCAAACAATTATTTAAACAGCTAGCAAAAATCATCAAGAGTAATCAACAGCAAAGAATCAGTAAAAGCCAACAGATATCAGCTAAACAAGTCAACAGAAACTTATTGGTATGGTGGGAGATTTTCAGTAACCTCTCACTAGTTGAATTTGGAATACAAGTGGATTTTACTCTAAAGTTAAGCGTCAATTCCCATCTGTTCCTCTGAAATGTTTAAATTATAAATTTATAATTTTATAATTATAATTTCTGTAGATGCTAGAACCAAAAGAAAATATTAACGACATTTCCTTTTGACAATATGCTCTACCGCACAAAGCTGATATTTCATTAAATACTGAGGCTTTGGAAATATGCACATTTTATAAACTTAATTAAATTCAGTTGCTTGACACCCCCAATAAAATTATATTCCTCCCTCCCCTTCAAGTAATAGCAACTTTGCTTGGCAGTGAAAATAAGGTGTATTTTTCCCAAGTGGACTTTGCTCTTGAAGATGTATAACAGTCTGAGGCTTAACAGAGTTGCGGCTACGGTTGATGATCCCAAAGCCTATTCCAGGGCTGCTTGGAAGGTTAAGCATGCAACCCAGTATACCATCAGGCATAGCCATGGCTGTTTTTGCATAACTTCCAACATTTCACAGGTGGATATAGAGACGTGCCTCTGAATGTACAGGGGTGTGTAGCCCACAATTCCAGTCATTAGATTTTTCATTTCATGAAGCCACTTAAAGAGTCAAATGGAAACTTTAATTAAAATATAACAGCTTTCCCAAAGAAATACTTTCAGAATGGGGTTTATTATACTTGTGTCCCACTTTTCTTCCATCGTGGAACCCAAGGTGATGTATGTCAGTTTCCCAAGTGGTCTCCCTACATCGCACTAACTTCACTGAATTGGGAAGAAAGGCTAATATCTGGGTTACTTCCAGGGCAGTTAGTTATCCTGGATTGTCACTCGATAACCATATCAACCCCAGGAGATTTGGAGGCCATGCTTCTGTTGCCCCCATTTGAAGCTTGAAGAAAGGGCTTTCTCAGTCATGGCATCAAAACTTTGGAGCTCCCTCCCCAGGGAGATCCGTCTGTCTCTCTTGATTGACATCTTCTGGAGCAGTATCCCACTACTGGAGCAATATCCTGCTTGTTCTTAACAGGGGGAGGAAGGTACATCCCTGCTGCAATCAGGTTTCAATTCTAAAATAATACCCCAATTACTATATGGGGTTGTTATCTGAATTTCGGTGATCACAAAATCTTTTGACCCATCCCCATATCAGTTTATATGTAGGATAATGGGAGTCCCTCATAGTGTCTCAGATGTCTCTCTCAGAGCGGAACTTGACCAAAACTCTTTGGAACCTAGAGCATGGCTCAGCACTTTCAAGCTAAGATTAAAGATTATTTTTGTTTCGGAAGCTGAAGGTCTACTGTTCTTTCTTAAACAAGGGCTGCGGTCACACGGAGCATTAGCCACACTAAAGAGACAGAAGATAGGTGGATTTTCCGGGCGCGATCACACCGCCACATCTGGGAAGCGTAGAGCTCCCATGGCTCCCCCGAGGTTTCCCGCAGAAGATGCAGGGTAAAAAACTAGTATCTCCGAGGTACTAGTTTCCGGCAAGGGTGGGCGTCTGATCGTGTTTCCGGTGGCATCCGGCGCCCGCCCATGTTCCCTCGCAAATAGGGTTTTTCCCCCCAAGTCTCCATGGGATGCACACAAGCACCCAAAGGAGCATGCGCACATTTCAGTTTAAAAAAACCCCCACAAACCCGTTTGCCGCCCCGCTTCTTTGCCTGTGGTGTGATCGGCACCTCCCCCATAACCGCGGGACCTCGACGGGACCTCAACCGGACGTCTGATCGCGCAGTCGCGCGTTATTTTGCTCCGGGGCAAACAGCCATGCTTCCCCCCCGCATTTTCTGGCCCGTGTGACCGGGGCCAAGGTACTTTATTCTTGATGGATGAAGACAGTAGATGCTAGATTAAGGAAGCTAGGGTTTATAACTGAAGACGTCTTCTTGTTAGGTAAGGCAAAGGTCCTTTCACTTGTCCAGCATTGCCTTGTGGAGCTGGATTTTAACAGTACAGCTATTTGCTCTCGCAGAGTCTGCTCAAGTCAGTTCTTTGATATCTTACCTCCTCGGACTCTGCCATTATACATGAGACACCTAATGGCCCACTACCTTGCTAGGGCATTTGCTATAGCTCACCTTAATGCCATCTTCATTTGGCCCAGGTTAAGAAGTTCGAGAGATCAGTGGAGCCAGCTGGAAACCTCTGTATGAGGATAAATAGTGCACGCTGTTTTAATTTATGTTGTTTTAAAGTGTCTTAATTGTTTATGTCTATATTTTATATTTCTGAAATTTTTGATATGTTTCTGATGTGTTGTGATCTGCCCTGAGCCCGCTCGCAGGGAGTGCGGAATATAAATTTGAATAATAAATAATAAAATAAATAATCCGATCTGAAGTATCACAAGGGAGATTTTATTGTATTCCATATTCAGATCGTCTTTGCCCTTGCGGTCAGGATAAAATTGATACTATGTCTCACAAAACATTTGAATGTCAGGTTTTGTCCACTTTTAGGAACCACTGGATCTCACTGCGTTTAACACGCTCTCCATTTAATAAATTCCAAGGGGGTAATATTCCATATCTGATGCTAGACAGAGACCCAAACATAACCTACTGGGTCGCCAAAGTTCTGTCTAACGTATTTTCCTTTATTAAATAATGTATTATTCTTTTAGTCAGTGCTCAAGATAATTTGATCATAGGAGCTCTGAAAAGCAAAGATAAGTGTCTTCTGACTTTGTTTATTTATTTATTTATTTATTATTCAGATTTATACCCCGCCCTCCCCCATAGGGCTCAGGGCGGCTTTCATTTTCATTGTTTCATTTGGCATGTAGCCAATAACTCCTTCGTGGTTCTGGTGCTGTATGTTTATGTTTTATATTTTGAATTATTTTATCATTTTAAATGTTTTTAATCGTTCAAGTGTTTTAATGTTATATTTGCTGCCTTGAAGACCACGTTCAGGTGGAATGGTGGCATAAAATGTTTTAAATAAATAAATCGATGTGTCAGGTTATGGCGTATATAATTATTTTTGTGGTCACCTAAATGGTGTTGACACTGGTAGCAGGAAGTATGGTTATTGCAAATTAAATACTGTCTTTATTGAGAATTCTGTATTGAAATTTTGGAAGCAACTCCCATGCACAAACCAATGTAGCTTCAATCTCCCTATTTTAAATACTTCCAGATAAAACAGGAGCCTCATAGCATCTTAAAGACTAATTAGAACTGACTATCAGATGCAAAGTAGAGAGTTTCCTGCATTGCATCCAATGAAATGGGCTTTAGTTAGTCTTAAGGAGTGACTAGACTTCTGTTTCTGTTTGCTATAACAGAATAATAAGGCTGTCTGGATGCAGAGGAAGGGAAAGAATGGATTTCTCTTATTTTTATGTCTTTCTTTTTGCAGTTCTATGAATGAAGTAGTGCATACATCCCCAACTATAGGAAGCAATGTGGAGGAGATAGTGGTTAATAATACGCGCTTTCTGATGTGGGATATTGGAGGCCAAGAGTCTCTTCGCTCTTCATGGAATACATATTATACAAACACTGAAGTAAGAACACATTTTCTGTTTGATATATTACAAGGATGTGGGTAATCCCACATAGAAATTTAGTGTGCTATCCAGCCAAAATTAGGATTTCATCAATTGATTTTATTGGGGATGAATAAAGGTATGTAGTTTTTCCTAATGAAATTAATGGGACTGAAAAATGGTCAGGTGTGATGAGGTAATTTTCAATCAGCAAGACTGTGCTGATTGAATGTCATCAGATTACACAGGGAAGCAATTGAAATTCATAAACTTAAACACCATTTAGTTTAAAAATAAATAGGGCATGGTTTCCTGTCCTAAAAAACACAAAAGGCTCTACATAGGGCTGCCAAATGCAGCCGGGGGGCGGGGATTCCCCCGCTTCGGAGCCCCGATTTCCGGCACGCCGGAATCGGTGCCCGGGGGAAACCCCACCCCCGCGTGCACGTCACCCGGAAGTGACGTCGCACGCTGTGGGCGGAGCCACGCCGTTTGAGGGGAAAACAAAGAGTTTTCCCCTTAAATGGCAGCCATTTGAGGGGAAAACTCTTTGTTTTCCCCTCAAACGGCGTGGCCCCGCCCAGCGTGTGACGTCACTTCCAGTGATGTCCTGGTGGCGCGTACGCATCCCCGCACAGCTCCAGGAACGGCAAAAGGATCCCCGGACGAAAGGTAATTTTGATTTGGCAACCCTAGCTCTACATCTTACAATAGCACTACAGATAAGATTAGAGTTTCAACAGCCAATCCATATGCAAAAGAACCTCCTCAGGAAAGCTCCTCCATTAGCATGCCACAGCCGGGGAAACTGCTACAAGATAATGACACAGTCCTACCCCACCTTCCTGAGTAGATATAAATTACCTTGCCTACTATTTTTCTTCTCACCTTGACACAGAGAGTACTCCATCTTTCTGTGTTATACCTCTAAGGATGCCAGTCACAGCTGCTACAGTCACAGGTCCTACAATGCCAAGACCACAGACATACAGCTCAGAAAATCTACAACAACTAAAGAAATTAAATAAACTTCATAAAATTTTAATAAAGTAAAAGGTTTGGCTACTTGTGTACAATAGCCATGGGTACCCATGGGGTTCAGCATTGGACACCTTGACAGTCTCCCACTCCTTCTAATCACAATGAGCCACTTTCTGTGCAGTTTGGTTTATTTTTTATCTTGTGAGAAGATTCTATTTAGAGTGATACAAATCAGCTAGTTGTGGTTGTTCTCATTAAATCAATTTTTCCTGTTTCTGGGGCTTGTATAGTTTTGGTTATTCCCTCTTCTGGCTGTTTGCAGCTTTCAGGAAAGCCAAGCAATGGCAGGTGCAATTTCATCATATTTTGAAATTTATGCATCTTGAATAAAATATTTGGTTTATTTTTGAACATTAAAAATCCTCTTGGGTGCCATTTCAGAAGCTTTAAATTCAGAGGGTAAAGTGAAAGGATGGGATAGGCATATATCTTCAGACAAGAAGAAAATAAAGGGGGCTGCTCAGTCAGAAGGGAAGAAAAACAGCTGAGGGAGAATCCTGCATCTAAGTGAGGGAATGGGGCTAGGTCATTATAGTAAGTTTATAATAATAGCATATTATCTGGGGGATTGCCCCTTTATCCAGTGTTTCTGACATTATCTTAATTATGTTTAGTCTTCATTACTGTTGTTTAGCATCCAGAGTATACTGCATGTTATGGAAATAAAGCAATCCTTCTCAGACAGCTTGATCAAAATTGATCAAATTGACATGCTTTCCCTCCATAAAAATGCTCTATACAAAGTAAAGATTCTTTGAAAACAGTGATAGAGCTGGTAAATTATTAGCAGCAAAGTTTAGAAAGAAACAAGCTAAAGAAGCAGTTGTTGGAATAAAATGAGGGGTGGATCTGTTGTGTCAAGTAATACTTTATTTATTAAGGCCTGTACTATAATCAAGAACTATACAAGGAAAGTACCTTAAACATAGACAGAGTTAAAATTTCCTAAGTAAACTTAAGGTACCTAAATTAACAAAGGAAGATAAAAAGTTAATTTATGAAAAAATAAATTTGCAAGAAGTGGTCACAACCATTCAAAATCTCAAATAAAGCACCTGGACCTGATGGTCTTACTTCAGAGTTCTATAATTTCTTTTCTTCAAGTAATAAAGTTACCTCTGTTACAAGCCATCAGCAACATATTTGAGTCTGGTTGCTTACCTAAAACATAGGCTGAAAGTAAAATTATAGTGATCCATGAACCTTCAAAAGATCCTACCCTCATTAGCTCCTATCGACCTATTAGCCTCTTAAATCTAGACTACAAAATCTTGACATCTATTCTAGCAACCTGATTGAAGGGTATAATTGGTAGATATGTATCACCTGACCAGACTGGCTTCATATCAGATCACCATATTTCCACCAATATATGAAAAATTGTTAGTCTGTTTGATTGTTATTGTTAAGAAAAAGTTAAGTTGTCTTCTTAGATGCTGAAAAAGCAATTGATATAGTGGAACATAGCTTTCTGATAGATTCTCTTGTATCATTTGGTTTTGGGAAAATTTTTTAAAATGGGCAGGTCTGATTTATTCACAGTGCTTTGCTAAGGTAAGCATAAATGAGTGTCTTCACAAATAGACATTACCAGAGGTGTATGTCAAGGATGCCCTCTCTTTGCTCTCCTGTTTACTCTCTCCTTAGAATCACTAACAATTTCAGTGAGAGAAGAACGAAAAATCTATGGCATTAACGTAGGAGCAATCCAATATAAAATTGGTCTTTATGCAGACGATATTGTCATTTTTAGCGGACACTGAGCAATCCAGTAAAATACTAGAAAATCTTATTATACAATATGGGAATGTTTCTGGGTATAAATTGAATGCAGATAAATCTGAGAGTATCTGCCTTAATACAAATTTAAATGAATGCAAAAAAGATAAATGGATTTGGGATATGAAGATTACTGATCAAATTAAGTATCTAGGTATCTGGTTAAATAAGAACAATGATGGATTATTGAAGATCAGTTGTGGCCTAGTAATAGCTAATTTTTTTTTTTTATGTTCCAGCTTTGGGAAGCCTTAAACCTATCTTTCCTTGGACACATAAACACAATAAAAATGATGATTCTTCCCAAATTAAACTTTTTATTTGGTAATCTCCTGGGTGAAATTCCAGAAGAAATATCAAGAGTGGCAGCTATTATTTAATATATTCATTTGGGATAAAACGAAACCTAGAATACAATGCAGCAACATGTATGACAAAAAATCAAATGGTGGTATAATAGACCCCTGATGTTTCTCCTTCCCCCAGGCAGATTTTCTTGCCAAAAATATTTTTCATTCCACTTTAGTGACTGAGCTGCCCTTCAGTAGCGTGTATTTCTTCTCTGTTTTATAAGCTTTAATTGTCCCACCCTGTCACAGATATTAGTTTAGGCATATGACCCAGCACAGGAACTGGAGGGAATATAGGAGCTGACTTATTTTAAAATACCCTCATAAAATGGCATTGAGGCAAAATTAATGTTCAAGACAGAATAAAGATTTTAATAAACAGGCAAGGAATATATAAACATGAAGATTTAAGATATAGAAGTTGCTGAGGTAAAACTTTCAAATATATATACAGAATTGAAGTTTTTGAACAAATGAGAGTGTTGTAGCTTAATTTCTGAGTTTCAAATTCTTTTCAGTGAGAGATTTTTGCTTATTATATATTTCAGCTTTTACAGAGAATCTTAAATGCGGTTTCTTAGAGGATAGCTTTGTCTTAGTGCTTTTAGGTTTCTCCTTCAGAGATCTAGGTTTTCTCTTTAGATATTATAGCTTTCGAGTAACTCTTGAGGTGTCTAAGCTCTTCCCCTTTATCACAGACCAGGGTTCTCTTCCCAACCCTTTCCTATTGTCTAGACGTTAATTCTTCTTGTCCCTAAGAGGCAGTAACTCCTTTTCCTATTTGGCTTGTCTGGGAGTTCTCTCTAACTCCTCAAACCTCCTGCCAAATTTCTCTTCCAGTACTATATGTCTGTTTATAGCAGTGTTGTAGCTTTCTTGATTGAGAATCTGAATTCTCCCTCAGAGTAGTTTCAATATATCTAAGACAATGGAGTCCCTCTTCCCTCAGTACTTTTCTGACAATCCCCTGCCAGAAATCACTGACTCCCGAAGTCTCTTCCCTCAGAAGCCAAACCCTTTGACTACCTTAGATTTCAGACAAAGACCAAAAAGTGAATGAAATCTTTCCTTCCAGATCAGCTGTATTATTTCCTCTGTAAACTGATGCTGGCCAATCAGAGAGCGAGTAGAGCAGCCAATCACATAAACTCTTCTCTCCAGGGAAGATTAACTCACAACCTCCCTGACTCTCTGTCCCAAGCAGCATTTTAAAAACCTGCTTTTCTGTGCAATCCGTCACAGGTGGATTGGAGATATCCAATCTTAAACTACCAAGCTACCAGAGTAAAATGGTTGAAAGACTGGCTATCAAATACTGCTGAACATATACTAACCTTTATAGAACAACCCTTCATAAAGGTACCTCTGAAAAGTTGGTCTTGGGTGATGAAAGAAAATAGGAAGAAATACCATAATAATAGCACTATAATAAATATAATATTTAATATATGGCATCAAGTTAAAAATAAATTGTCACCAAGATTCTCTCCCTTAACATCTGTTATTAGTGACCTAACTGATGAGACAAGCCTGGAATTTCTCCCCTTGAGAAGATGGGAGTTCTCAGGATTTAGGGATTATAGAAATTTGATAACTGACAACAAAGTAATTCGTGATATTGTGATATTAAGAATCATCTAGAGTCTAGTATTTGATATGTGAATTGATACAAAAAATACTATTTTAAGACCTATAACAGAATTTGAGGAACTCCTACTAGCACATAGTAAAAGTTTTATTTTTAGTATGTATTCTAGTTTATTGAAAATGATGCTCAAACCTGATCAAAACTTCCACATTAGGTGGAAAAAAACCTGAGAAAACTCCTTAGATGATTCAGAATGGAAATTTATCTTTAGAGAAAACCTGTTGAAATTATTTTCAGGTGGAGTTTAATTCTGGCAAAGTTGGCAAAGATCTATAAGACTGGTACCAGCAATATGCTGGTTCTGTAAAGAAGATAAGGCAGATTTCTTTCACATGTGGTAGATGTGCATACATGCCTCCAGCTATTGGAAACAAGTGGTGAAAATCATATCAATCGGGTTGGAAATACAAATCTCCTATAAACCAAATGAATTACCAACCTGATATCCCTGAAGATCAGCAAATGGTTGCCTTACATATGATTACAGCTGCTAGGCTGGTTTTTTGCCAGGCAATGGAAACAAAAAAATATCCCTAGGCTACAAGAATGGTTGTTGAAATGAAGGAGTTCTACACTTTAGTGAAATTAACCACTTATCAGAAAAATAGAGATACACATAGCATAGACCTTCCATGGTTAAGAGCGATACAAAGAATGGAACTGGCAAAATTGTCAGTTGGTTCTGAAGGGTTTTCTATGCCCATGGATGCAGGATGTAAGGGGGTTTATTTATGTATAAATTGGTTCTTTTTTGTTTTTAATACAATTAATTTTAAAAATAATAAAAATTGTTGTATATATGTGCCTGGGAGGAACATATACTAGAATCCCACTTCCTGTATGGAGAAGGGTTTGGTCACACAGTCCTGTACCTGCATTTAGGCTCAGGCAAAGGTTTAGCAGCAATGGACTGTTGGTGAGAGGATAGTCGCTGGACAGTGCTCTCATAAGCAAAATTTAATATTCTGTTCAGTGGATAAATGAGGATGCAGACTTGCAGTGTCTACAAGGTTATAGCCTACGAAACCAGGAACTGAGTAAAATCCTTCAGTTTAAAAAGAAAAACACCCTTGACTCATAGTGGATAACTATAGCAAATCCTATTCTTTACTGGCATGCTCCTAAGTCAGTTAACTGTGCTTACATAGTAGATTACACTGTTGTTTGGGGGTTAGCTTAAATATATCCTGTCCCTGAAAATAAACTCCCTCCCATCTGAGCTGTAAGAGATCTCTAGATTGATATGGCTAAGATCACATAAGAGTGTCATGTGGTCAGCAAGAGGCCATGTCTCGCTTTTTTACAATCTAACATAATGAAGCAGGCTCCTCTATTCCATCTGAGGAACTGGTGATAGGCATCAGCTAGGAAGCCAAGAGACCACAGGCTTCAGGCTTGCAGCAATGCATGAACCATTTGAAACTGTGAAAGCCCTCTTCCTAATATTAAATTTATCTAGGATTTAAAAGCATTGATTTTGCTGAAGTAATTATTGTTTAAATTATTTGTGCAGCGGGCCCAGTTGTGCAATTTTTATAATGGAGCCTTTCGGGGGGGGGGGATAGTCTTTCTGTCTATATGATGCAGGATATATCAGAACTAATGTCCTTTTTAAATTCTTTTAGTTTGTTATAGTTGTTGTGGACAGCACAGACAGAGAGAGAGTTTCTGTAACTAAAGAAGAACTTTACAAAATGTTAGCACATGAGGTGAGTTCTCATTGATTTTGATAATTTTTAGCTAGGTCATAAGAACTACTTTAATACCCCTGCCTAGATACTAAAGTTGTATGTTGAACTCATAATGCTGCCTTATACTGAATCAGACCTTTGGGCCATCAAAGTCTGTATTGTCTACTCTGACTGGCCAGGGTCTTAGTAGAGGTCTTCCAGATCACCTACTAACTGATTATTTTACCAGGAGATGCTTTGGGGTTGGACCCACTGATAAATGAGAGGAAATGAAAATGTATTTAGTGTGACTCTCCTTGCTCAAGAAGTAATGCTACAGCAATACTTAGGGCTTTCAAGTGAATTTTAACTAATTACCTGCATATGGACCAATGGAATGTACAGGAAATGGTTCACCTGATTTAATTTGGTTTTAAAATTGTATTGGGGAAATACTTTGCTTGCACAGAAAAGGTAGTTGGGATGCCATTGCTTTCACTTAGCACAAGTAGACAGCAAGGACTACAGATAAATCTTCCATGAGATCCAAGCACTAGATGCTAGCTAACTGTATGAGAGCAGTGGTGTTTCCTTCACCTTGATAGTCAGCTGAATCAGTTTTTGTAGAACTGCTGGAAGGCCATCTTATTTAATGGATTAATCTGGTACAACACTTCTGAAATGGGGCTGCACAAAATGGATGTAATATTTTATCTTGCTGGTTAGTGTTTAAATTGTCATACCCCACAGAGCCTATTTAAAAGCTGGAGCAATTTTTTTTAAAAAAAAAGTCAAGTTTTTTCATAACTGGTGAAAACAGGACAAATTGAATGTCTTTCTTTTTTTTGTCCAGGATTTGAAGAAAGCAGGGTTACTTATCTTTGCTAACAAACAGGATGTTAAAGACTGCATGACAGTGGCTGAAATTTCCCAGTTTCTGAAGCTAACATCAATTAAGGATCACCAGTGGCATATCCAGGCGTGTTGTGCTCTTACTGGAGAAGGGTAAGAAGTCTTAGTTTATAGATGTGCTTCTGAACAGATCTTGTACATGTAACAAATCAGTAGGTTATTTCTCAGATTACTTAACACTCATACGTACCCATTGATAACCAGTGTGATCAATATAATTATTTTCTAGTTACCAATGGAAATATTAACGTGAAAGTCACCTGAATGAAACTTAAGCATGCAAACTCTCATTGCTCACAGGCAATACAAGAAAAATAATATTTTTTCAATATTTAATTTACAGATTGTGCCAAGGACTTGAGTGGATGATGTCAAGACTTAAGATCAGATGATTTTTACTCTGCACAGACATTGTACAGGAAAAAAGTGCTGCATCTTTGCCTATCTTGACAGCTGTGAAATTAATGGCTTACGTTTATTTATCAATCAAAACTGAATTCAACTTTATTTGCTACTTAACACACTAAGGCCGACTCTGTTGAGGGGGAGAACTTTTAGAAGCTCAAGCATGGCTTCCCAGAAACTTCCTCTGGAGTGGACTCCAGAAGCTGCAGCTGATCCTTTTTTAAGTGAAATCACTTGAGATTGTTTAGTAAATAATGTGTGTGTGATGAGAATGAAAGGGGAGGGGGGAGGTATTTTAACTTTTACATTTTATTATTCCAGTCTAACTCAGTTGGAAATGTTGACTTTATTATTCCAGTGATCAGTAAAGAAAATCAGTGGCACAGGTATTGACTTCCCAGTATTGGAACTTTTTCAGATGTGTTACAGAAGCAAAAATATTTTCCTGTATGTGTACTGTACATTTTGTATTATACCTCATGTTAAAAGTTGCTAGGAATCTGTACAGAGAAATGGTAAATACCACTGACTCTGCCTGCACTCTTGACACTATCTGCATCCTGGTTAAACTGTGTGGATTGGAGTATTTAGATTCAAACCATTCAAATCCTGTTGAACATGACAAAACAATATTGGTCTCAGTGAAAAGTACTCTTGAGTTTGTGACCCTGGCTGTGAAAAATGGTACCCAGAGAGATAACATCATTTGTGTATTTAATGGTTTCCATTCTACTCTCGTGTCAATGGTGGTGGTGAAATTCTAGGAAATTATTTCTGTTTTCTTTTTATTATAAGTATTTGCAGCTAGGAATGATCAGACAAGAAACTGGACATGGTTATCGATAAGATTTTATACTTAATTCTGGCATTTTAAGTGTATCAAACAAATAAAATATATAAAGGGGCATCTTTAAAAAAACATCTAAAATGTTGATTTCTTGATCGTGTTGGCTGAGAATCTTGACATGTGATACAGTTAAACAGTGTTTCACTTTGGGTCTACACGGGGGACATTTAATATTTCTGTTTTAAAATATTTCTAATGTAATACTAATAAGAACTTTCTTTTTCTCTACCCAGAGAAGTTGTCTAATAAGTTTTACAGAACTGGTTGTTACACTGCTAAGCATCTTCGAGGGGAAATAAATGTGTAGATTTATGATGATTCAGAATTGCCAGGGTGTTGCTGTTTTGTTGGGGACAGCGGCCAGAATCCAGGGGGCTTCTTTAACTGGAGATTCTCATCCCATAGAGCACAAATGATTTTTGAAATGTTTAATTTCAAGTGTTTGTGGCTTTCCATTGGCTGTTGTCAAAGGAGAAGTTCCAGTTCTTTGCTGTACATGTGGAACTTTGGGACAGATTGCTTCAATCCACAATTAACAGTTTAGTCTGCCTGTATGGCAGTCCCAGCCCCCGCCCCATATTTATTAATGTAAATAAATTAACTTTCCCCCCATTAAACGTCATGCCACAGAAAGTGTAAGGACAGGGTGTCAAAATTAAAATGTGCTATAGAATAGGAAAAAATGGCTTACATTAAGGGATTATGATTTTTATGGAAACTGAACAAGAGTAATTTTGAAATTGTGGTTTGTCGCTGACCGTGCATTTCCACATACTAAAGGGCAATTCTGTTTCTGGGAGTGGGATTATTAATGTCTACCAGTTCCTCCTTCCACTGCAGATCCCTCATTTTGCCATATATGCTGTTCCTCGGGGTCCACAAACCCTTAGGAACAAAGGGGATGGGCAGGTAGGTTCAGGTTATTGTAGTGAAGGGGGAAATGGGAAAGTCATGCTGAGCAAGGTCTGCTGCATGAGTGGGTCCTGTTTGGTTTGCCAGTGCTTCTTAGTTCAAAACCCTGTGCTTGCAGTCCCTGTCATGAATATCTAACTATCCTGTGGTGAATTGAAAGTCCTTTCTAAATAACTTAGTACAGTGGTTTGTTTTTAAACAGACCAATCAGTACAGTTTGTTTGTCAGTAGGGAAAAACATGATAGACTTGTTGGCTTACCATCACATGTACTGGGTGGAAATGTTTTAAAATGAGAACATACTCCGTATCAATAGCTGCCCTTCACCCTTGGAGTCTGATGAGTAAACAACACTGGGCGTGTATAGTTATCGATATTCTGGTTTCGACTATATCCCTTCAATCGAATGCATGCACAGTACCAGTGGAAATAGCAGTCAAGTAGGTCTGAGTAGTGTTCAAGGAAGTGCTGTTAAGTACAGAGGCTGAAATCCAAAGAGGTACTTGGGCTTGTTTGGGGTTGGTTCTGCTAAACCTTTCTCCCCTGACATAGCGCAAAGTTTCAAAAATCTAATTGCCTTGTAGCCCGGAAGGCTACCGTTGGGGGCAAACACATCTAAAGCCCTTTGAGACTAGTTGTGTTTTTATTTTGGCCCTAGTTAGATTCCCTCTTAGTTGAAAACAAAAGCAACAAAGTGCAGTGTGCTACAGGCTACAGTGGACACAAGATTTAACTAAGAATGCCTTGCCTTTTGAAATGTGTTCACATTTCCAGATTAAATCCCTTCATTTTACGTATGCCACAGTTCCATAACCACTATCTGTATGATAGTAAAGTAAGAGCTTAAAAATTAATAGATTTTCTTACTGTTCTTTTCTTAGTTTGGGGCAAATGCATTAATTAAGGAAGAAGGGAAAGAACAGCGACAAGGATCTTGAGGTTGCATTGATGATCCCCGATGAAGAACTTTGGAGAAGTAAAAACATTGTGCATGAGCAGGGGGTGCTCAAACATGCCCCTCCCAAAAAATCCTTCTGCGCAACTTGGATTGATTGGATGACCTTCAGCACGGGTGACAGATGGCAAAGGAGTCTCCCACTGCTTCATCTGTTCCATAGATTGGAAGGTGGCAGCAATGGGCAGACACTCCTCCTGCCAGTCAACAGAGCCATGGGAGGCATTAGGGGACAGCTTAACATAGAACTTCCACTTAGTCACTCTTATTTTGGGCTAAGGGTGTGAAGTTACCAATCAATTCTTTGGGGTTATATTTGAAGCAGAAGCCTTCTACAGGTTTGTGTATATTTTTGCCCGAAGCAGGCTTTGGACAAAACTGTGTTATACCCAATGAATTTCAAACTGATGTTACTGCCACTCTTTTGTAACTTAGCTGGAGGATTAGGGTGTCATTCTGGCTTTTTCCTCTACAAGTAAGAGTTATCCATAGTACTAAGGGCTGCTTTCCAGGTGAACGTTTTCTATCTATGTGTAAGAAAAAGCATACACCATCACTTGTGTATGCATCCTCTGCATAGTATATATATCTGTAATGTTACATGCATGCTGCTTTGTTGTACAGACTGAAGAGATCTGCCCGATACTTTTTATAGGGTATGGTACTGAGTGGTGTCCCGCAGGTGTTTGCTTAAGGGGCAACTGACTGCTTTTTTTCTGCAGTGCCTTGGAATATTCCCCTCAACCTGCAAAATGATAGGTGCATAAAATTGATCTGCAGCGTATCCAAGAACAGCTGAAAAGACACAGTTTCTAGATTTGTCTGGTACAGAACTGGCATTGGGGTTGCCCAGTTAATAAAAGTAGTCCTGTGTGCATGCTTCCTCTTGTGCCCATATAATGCTTGTCATTGTGTACATATGTAAATAAACAGATTATTACAAATATATTGGAAGACTGTACTGTTCTTTTCTCCAAAGGAAGTCTCCCCCCCCCCCCCCAGTAAAGCTGGTTTACGAAATATAGGCTAGTGTGATCTTGTCAGGTCTCAGAAGGTAGGCATCATGGGTGGCCCTGGTTAGTACTTAGATGGGAGACCGCAAGGAAGTCCGTCGCTGCTGTACAGAGGCAGGCAAATGGCAATCCACTTCTATTCATCTCTTACCCTGAAAACCTTACAAGGTTGCCATGAGCCAGCTGGAACTTGGTGGCACTGTCTACCAAAGGATGACTAGACCTGTGCTCATTGCTGCCTTGGCGGGGCTGAAAAAATGGGGACAGTATCAGTACATAGTACATTGCATTTTGTGGGGTGTGCTATATGGCAAGTGGGGTTTTGGATTAATAGGTCACAAGTTATACGGGCCTGCTATCTAGGTTACCTGGCTGTTCAGGGCACGGGTGTGCGAGAGAAACAATGTAAGACAGACTATGCTGACAAAATAAGCTGCTTGGATATGCAAAGCCAATTTCCTGGCTGTGGTAAAGTCCACTTGTAGGGGATGAATCATAGGAGAAATAGCTGTGTAAGCAATCTAAGCAAAGGATACCCAACTGACATTGATGACTCATGAAGACGTGAGTTAACTAGATGCTATTTCAAATGTAATTTACAATGCTGCCTAAAGGTGACCTCCAAAAGAAATATAACGCTATTGGAACTGAAATATGACAACAAAGGGCTTTCCCCATTTATTGCACTTTTCCATTGCAAAGTGGGTCACGTGCTCAAGAGATTGGAGGATGAATCTTGGTTAGTAGGACTAAGAAAGACCTCATGAGATCCTGCTGGTTAGTCATTGCTTGCTAGCTAGATGATATTACTTGGTATGATACACTCCCAATCACATTTAGCTATAATGGGTGTCATCAAGCCTCAAATATGCTAGGGATTCTTGGCCCCTAACTTGATCAGGCTGTCTTCTCTTGATTACTTAGCTGAGCTACCCCTTAGGTATCAACAATCAAATAATAACTGCCTGGCTGTACACTGTAAAACATTTCATGCTTTAATCTGTTTTCATAATTGACGTTTCTGAAGAGAAATTTGCTTGTGTATAGGATCAAAAACTGATGAATAAGAGCTCGAAGGAGCCCGATGCTGATATCAGGATCATGACTGCAGTCCAAAAAAAGTTCATTTTGATGGTTAATTGTAAAAGCGGGGGACTTCAGTTAGCTGGAACTATCTAGTTATGACCTTATCTCAGTAAAACTAATGCTAGTTAGGTTGTAGCCAGTGTATTGAAATTGTTGCCAGTTTGGGATAATTCCTTTTTTTTTTTTAATCAGGTGTTTGAAAGCTTTGGGGTTTAAGGATTAAACCAGAGGTCACACTTCCTAGTAAATGTGCGATGAGCTCAGAAAATAAAACTTGCCCTCTGCGTAATAGGTAATGCAGCAGCTGCCTAGTTGTTGACACGGCTGAACAATTCTGAGTATGGAAACCTTTTGTGATAAACCATTCCAGCAGCTGTCTTGCCTTGTGCCATGAATGACAGTTTTGCTATATATAATAAGTTGTTTGTTTGTGTAACAGCTAAAGTGAGCGAAAAAATAGTTAAAGTGGTGGCTGTTGCCTGTGATGTACACTTAAGTTTCACAGAATTACTCAAGTGTGTATGCAACATCTGATATCGCATCCAGTGAAAACTGTTGATTGTTAGCTGCCTGTAAAGAGTGTGGTTTAGGACCCTGTCTATCTAAGCTCCCTAATGTTATTTTAGTCTTTGCATAATACTCTTCATGGGGGTGTATGTTATTCCTTTGCTTAGCAAAGTTTGAAGCCTTTTTCTGTAAGGGGACTTTCTGTGACAACTTTGCTGTTGGAGGAAGAGCCACTTCTGTGGAAGGAAGGTGCTTTAGTCTGGAGGCAGGCTTCAGATTTTGCTGAGCAGAATGAAAGTATACAAGCTTAATAATAATGCAAAAAGGACATAGACGTAACTTGGCAGACAGGTCATACTTGTTAAGAATAGTTTTCTGTAGTAATCTTCTCTTTGCTGGTACTATGTAGGTACTATTGCTTTAAGGCTAGACCATGAAGTAAGATCAGATCAGACGACTGGAACCTGGGAAGGAGCTCACCCCAGACGGCTAGAGCTTGATGGACATCTGTTGGATTGGTTGGTTGGTTTATTCTGTATTGCTGATGTCGTTCTTTTACAGTCATCCTGTCTTGGTTCCTTTTAGGTAAGAAATATGTATAGATTTTAAAAGATTGGTTCAATGGAAGAAGAAGAAGAGATTGGTTTTATACCCCGCCCTTCACTTGGAGTCTCAGAGCAGCTTACATTCTCCTTCCCTCCCTCTCCCCACAACAGACACCCTGTGAGGTAGGTGGGGCTGAGAGAGCTCTGAGAGAACTAACTGCCTTTGAGAACAGCTCAAAGGGAACTGTGACTGACCCAAGGTCACCCAGCTGGCTGCATGTGGAGGCGTGCAGAATCAAACCCAGTTCTCCAGATTAGAGTCCACCACTATTAAACACTACACCAAACTGGCTCTCACATATCTACAGAGCAGATGGACACATCTACAGAGCAGGAGCCGGTGGGCTAAAGTGACAAAAGAGTGCCCTTACTGGTTCTTGCCACTTAAATAAAAGATATAGTTGCTCCAAAATTCCAAAAAGCAGCTTTAATACATTGCAAGAACAGTATATTCTAATAAACCCTGTAAACATTCTGAAGCGTATCCCCCCCCCCCCCAAATCTCAGAAGTGTTCCTTATTCTGGTGCTTTCTAGGTAGCTGTTCTTGAAGTTATGTTGCTTAAATTCTATTGCTTATTTATTTTATTTATTTAATGCATTTGGATCCCACCATTCTTCCCAATGGGGACCCAAAGCAACTTACATCGTTCTCCTCGCCTCCATTTTACCCTCACAACTACCCTTGGAGGTAGGTTAGGCTGAGAGAGTATGACTGGCCCACGGTCACCCAGCAGCTTCTGTGGCATGAGTTGGGATTTGAACCCTGGTCTCTTAGATAACTTGCCTGACACTCTTAACTATTGCACTGGACTGGCTCTCAGTGCATATTGCTTAATACATAACAGTGTGAAAAAGGGACCTGTATCAGTTGTGCAACCACATTCTGCATAGCTTTCACACCAAGGCGATGAATGCCTAGTAGTAAGTCACGTCTCTATTACTGCAACTGTGCAATATTGAAGGAAAACAGGACTGTTTAAAAAATGAAAAATGTATTGCACATAAATACAAATGTCCATACAGACCTGTAAGGGGGAATTTTGGAATGGTTAACCATTAACTTTGGTCAATGTATAAAATTTATAATTGGCACCTAAGGGGTGGTAAAGTGAGATAGATCATAGATAGATCATAAAAGAACAAATAACTGTATGCTATAAACTTGGGGGGGGTCTCTTGCAATGATACCTTTTGAGATTGAAACATTCATTTTACTTAAATTAAAAAAAAACATGCAATATTAAAAATGTTAGCTTGGAAATCTATTGTAGTTGGAGACAGTAGTAAAACTGCAATTTATCAGGAAATTCCTATATTTTATTGGATAGCCTGTTCTAATCCAAATGCTCATTGAACCAATTAAGCAAAATAATAGCATGACCAAATAATGCAAAATGCTGCAATTACAGATGGTGGGTTACATCCCAAGGTCTACAGGCAGAGTTCTGCTCTTGGAATGGATTTTTCTGTGAACACCTATGATCTCTGTTCTCTATGATCTCCTTTGGACTGGGAAATCCTTGGAAATAGTGTGGAATGCAATTTGAATGTCTGTAGTGTCAAAGGGGAACTGGCACAAATAATCTCTCCCCTCATCCCACTTGCATGAGTGGGACTCTAGACTTTAATAAATTGAAGAAATTCTCTACAAACCTTAGGGTTTTTTAAAAAAACTCAAGCCAGGACCACCTGGAAATATGTTTTTTGTACTGGAAAATTAGAGACTTTCCTATACCCTGTTCTTCTATGGTCTTTTAAATCTGACAAGCTAACCACTACATTATATTGGCTTTCAGAACTAATGTGAGATATCGGCACATGAGGAGTAGAGAGGTTGTCTGGAAAGTGGACTGTTATTTACGTTGTGATGCCTGTTTAATGTCAAGAAAGTCTCCAGGAGTGTAACCAATAATCTGTATTAGTCAATCTCAGAATAGCTTTCTTTTTGCCTTTTGTTTTAGTATTATATAAGGAATTTGATTATTCCATCAATTTTGTAACGTTTCCTCTCCTTTGAGTTTTAAACTGCTAAACCCAAGCAAATGTCATATTAACACCTCCTGTCAACTTCCTGCCTTAAAGTGATGTGTAGATTATCACCTTTAATAAATTGCTGCTGCTTCTATCTATGCAAGTGGGGGACCTGTAAGGACTTGTGGGGACATCTCATTTCCCCTCTCCCACTATTTCCTTTTCCCCTTTCCTGAAAGTCCCACAGCCTCTTGCCTTTTCATGCCTACTTTGCTCCATCCATCTCCTTCCAGCCCACCAGCCTTTATCTGCCCCCATGTGTTCAGCTTCTTTTTCTGTCCCCAATAGCTTCTCCCAGGGAAAAGTCTGGCTGAGGTACACAGCAGCTGCCACCACAGGACTGAGCCAAGTTGCCTGGTAGCCTTTGGAACTGGTTGTATGGTGGCTGGTGCTTGGCAGGTCTGAGTTTCACAGTGATCAAGTTGTATGGGTAGTGAGATTCCAGTAGTTGCCACTGGGCCTATCCCAAGCAAATACTCCTCCATTTTATGTATTTATTTATAGTCTGCCTTTCTCACTAAGACTCAAGGCAGATGTAAGTCAGGACAATCAATGGGGGAGAAAACATTAATCAAAAGTGTAAGTACTAGGATAGGAATATGAAAGAAAGCATAAGTATTAAACATGACATGTTAATTAGGGGACA